TCAACAGCTCAGGTTGTCTTCCTCTTTGCTGTTTCCCTTCCTAGTCATAGGCCACCAGTGCAGTCATCCCTGCACCTCTTGGTGACCAGGGCTGATCTTTAGGTCAATTCTCAGGTCCCAACACTACTTGGAAATATTCAGGCTGTTGGTCCCATCAGAGTATTTGACAGTCCTCAGCTCCAACTGTGTTGGTATTCACTGTTTTTGTTCAGGATTTTCCACTAGTTGGTGCTTAATCCATTCCTGTATAGTTCCTTTCAAAGCTCAGGGCTCCAAGATTATCTTCTGTATCTCTGTCACCTGGTTTTTTCTTTTCTTTGTTGAAGAGGGTCTGTGTCACTTGTCTGCTTATTCTTCCATCTTACCGGAAGTCCACCTTGAGTATTCTTTTTCCTATTCTTGAATTATTTGAGATGCTACTTTCTCTTCTGATTAATGAATGAAGTAGTTGCATGAGCGCTTGTCCAAAAGCAGGCTCACCAAGCTTGAGAAAAAATTCAAGAGACATACATATTCACTATACCTGATATCCAGTAATTTGGCCATTTTATTTCTACTATTCATAAAGCAAGGAATTAAAAATAAGTATCAATCTAAGTAAATCCAATAATAGCAATACAGAACCCAAGTAAGTTTAACTTTTGGGTTGTAGAGGTACAATTCTTTTAGAAAACACATTACAAGTATCAATGGGAATTTGGAGGCAATTATCTGCAAATATTAAACTTTTCAACTATGTACTTAGGGTGGGGCCAAACGAAACTTGAGGAAAAATTCAGGTTCAGATACCGCTTTATCCTTTTGTTGTTGTTAGTTGCTGTTGAGTCGATTCTGACTCATTGTGATGCCATGTGTGCAGAGTAGAACTGCTCCATAGGGTTTTCAAGGCTTTGACTTTCAGAAGCGGATTGCTAGGCCTGTTTTCTGAGTTGCCTCTGGGAGGGTTCAAACCATTAATCTTCTGGCCAGTAAGTTGAATGCTTAAATGACTGTACCACCCAGGGACACCCAACATCCTCTTAGCAAATATCTTATTTGCTAAAGCTCTTTCATCTTTAATTTCCTTTATTGTATGACAGATATGTTAAAAGGTATGCTTTATTATATATTAAAGAGATGTTAAAGGTATATTATCTAATCGGTAGAATCTTCCTGCTAGTGTCATTTATAAATGTGGGGAGGTGTATATTTTGTGAATGGCTAGTTCTTCAAGGTATAACTAGGACCAGACCCTCAAATATGTTAATTTTCAGGGCTTTACAACAGTGCTAGGAAGCTCTGGTGGAATACTGATTAAAGCATTCAGCTGCTAATCAAAAGGTCAGTCCTTTGAACCCATCAGCCACTCCATAGGAAAAAGATCTTCTGTAAAGATTTATAGCCTTGGAAACCTGATGGGCATTTTTACTCTATCCTAAAGAGTTGATAGGAGCTCTGGTAGCATAGTGCCTAAGGCACTTGACTGCTAACCAGAAGGCTGGCGGTTCAAACCCACCAGCCACTCTTCAGAAGGAAGGTTGGGCAATCTACTTCTGTAGTGATACTGCCTCGGCAACCCAAGGAAGGGTCGCTGTGAGTCAGGTATGATTCAATAGCACATAACAACAACAACAAAGGGTTGCTATGAGTAGGAATTGACTCCATGGCAGTGGTTAAAATGGTGCTGTCCAATGGAACTTTCTGTAATAGAAATGTTCTATATCTGTGCTGTCCAATATGATAAATACATGCTGGTATTGAGTACTTGAAATGTAGCTAGTGTGATTGAAGACTTAAATTTAAATGACTACATGTTCTTTGTTATATGCTGTTGAGTTAATTCTGATTCATAGTGACCCTATAGGACAGAATAGAACTGCCCTATAGGATTTCCTAGGTTGTAATGTTTATGGGAGCACATTTCCAGGTCTTCTCTCCCGTGAAGTTGCTGGTGGGTTCGAACCACCAATGTTTTCATTTAGCAGGCAAGTGCTTAACTATTATGACACCAGGATACCTTCATGTGTGCCTAGTGGCTATCATTTGGATAGTGTAGCTCTAGAATCTATACTTTGGGGATATGAGAGTAGCCTTGCTCAATTGAGTATTTATCAAGTAATTTCAAACACCTTATTTTAAATAATAAATTTTAGATTTTCAGGATGAAATGAATGTGATTTTTCCTTATAAAGAAATTTACAATAAAACTATAATAAAACAGCAAGCTCCTTTTAGCTAATTCAGAATTATGTTTATTACAGAATGTCCATTTACTACAACTCTTCTGATACATACTGACTGAAATGAAATACTTTGGTTGTTCTAAGATACTGTTTCAAATGAAAATTATGAAATTATGAGTTTTAGATTTAAGTTTCTGGATTTATGTGTTCTAGAGGATACCTGCCTCGGAAACCCAAGGAGGGGTCGCTATGAGTCGGGGCCGACTCCACGGCAAACAACAACAACAACAACAAGAGAATATAGAAGATTTAGGTGAAGAAAGAATTTTAATTAGGTTGAGCAAAGGGGATATGTGGTAGAAAGAGGTTTTGGAAATGGAGGTTCCAGAGTAGAGAGAATCTGAGGTTGAGGTGAACCAGGTAAATTGGAACTGGTGGGTTCAGGATGAAGCTTCATTATAAAAGGAAGCTACTCTTGCTATCGTCATCTCCCAACTTACTTTTCAGTTCTCTTTTGCCTTATGGCCTGGGTATTTGTAGGAACTGGAAGTAAGAGTAGACCCATGGTCTGGAAATGTTGTGTGTCCACTGCAGGCCACTGGCTTCCTTAAGGAGCTCTTGATGGAAATGAAGATGCTTCTCCAAAGCAGCTTTTTGCCTAAGAAGACAAACCCACCCACAATCCCAATACTGATTAAGAAGCACTCCAGAAATTGTCTTTATAAATTAGTGGAAGAACTTTGGATTTGAGCAATCATCAGATCTGGGGCTATTGATCATGCATTTTAGCAGAAGATCATGACCATTCATTTAGGAACTTTACATAGATTTTGAGTATCGTGGGCCTTCTATTGGCAAAGTAAAAGAAAGGGCATAGTTCACAGTTCTTAAATTTGTATTGCTGGAAGGGACTCCCTTGTTTTAGAGATGAGGAAATAGTCCTAGAGAAGTTAAATTGCCTGGGCCAAGGTCACATAAATGAGGGTGAAGTAAAGCGAATTGTACCCTTCATTTATTTAGTTTTCTGCTTTCAGCTACTTGGACTAGCCCTATAAAATCGTTCAATTTCCCTTTGTGTGACTGTAAGTTTTCTTTTGTAGAAAATTAGAACTCATAATAGTTTGCTTTTGGTCTCAATTCTTATGAACCCGACCCTACTACTATGATACATGGAATATGTAATTTTAAAATCAAATCAAGACTTTCCTAGTGATCCATGTTGTAATTCACATAAGCAGCTGAGGAGAGTCTAGGGGAGGAATAACTCGAGATTAGGTGGGACACCTTGGAGCAGAGTTGTTTTGGCTGCTTTCTCTTTCTGACCCCTACAGCTTACATTAAATAAAATGTATTTCAAGGGGAAATGTGTTTACAGTTAAGATTGGAATCACTTGTGTTCTGTATTTTGCCTCTTTACCCTTTTATTTTGATAGATGACTACTGTCTTTCATGAATTTAGGAGGGGAAATGAATGACATAACATCTATAGAGGGCACACTGGTAAAGACATTGTATTATCAGAAAGTTGCAAAGATCATTACTAATATAGGAGAATGAAGGGAGAAGTGCCTTTGGCCTCTGCTGACTTTGATTTCAGGCTGTTTCTCCTAACAAGGCTCTCATGAGAGCTGGTCCTGGTCCACCTCTCTGATCTCATCTGGGAGTATTCTTTGTCCCTGTGTGCTTCATTCTAGCTGTGCTGGCTTTTCTTCCTCCAGCATGCCCATTTCAGTCCTCTCTTTGGGGATGCACTTACTTTTTACTTGCTAGGATATTTTTCTCTCAAGTATTCATGTGGTTGACTAAGCAGTCAGGTTTCACCTTAAATGTCACCTCTTCTGTGAGGTCTTGCTCTGACCAAGCAATCTAAAATAAGCCACCTACAACCCTGTCACATCTCCTTTTTATTTTCTATATAGCAAGTATTGTAGGCTTAAAATAATTTTTTAAATTTTTATTTGTTTAGAGACTGTCTTCCCATTCCCACCCCTAGAACTTAAATGCTGTGAGAGAAGAGACCTTGTCTATCTTGCTTACTGCTGAATTCCCTGTGTCTAGAACAAAATAAGGAGCTCTGGTAGCATAGTGCCTAAGGCACTTGACTGCTAACCAGAAGGCTGGCGGTTCAAACTCACCAGCCACTCCTCGGAAGGAAGATGGGGCAATCTACTTCCATAGTGATACTGCCTCAGAAACCCAAGGAGGGGTCGCTTTGAGTCGGGTCCGACTCGAGGGCACATAACAACAACAACAACAACAGAACAAAATAACCAAAAAAAACCCAAATCCAACTCACTGTTAACGAGTTGCATCTGACTCATAGCGACCCCTCCTTGGGTCCCAGAAGCAATATCACTACAGAAGTAGATTGCCCAACCTTTCTTCCAAGGAGTGGCTGGTGAGTTTGAACTGCCATTCTTCTGGTTAGCAGTCAAATGCCTTAAGCACTATCCCACCAGAGCTCCTAGTACAAAATCAGCACCCAATACTTATTGAGAAAGCAGTGAGTGGCTCTAGAATCAGAGACCCTTAAAGCTGGTGCTGGCACTGCCCTTAACTCACTGTTCAGCCCTGATCAAGATCCTTTTTTCTCTTTGGGACTCACTTTCCTTATCTGTAAAGGAAAGGATTAGATAGATAATCTCTAACCTCCCTACAAACTTCAATATACTACAAACCCATGAATACAAGCTCTACTATGCTGTGAAGGAATCTCGTAGTGTTTGTAGCAGATCTATATTTGTTATTTAGTTCTTCCAAATCATGCTTTGGAAAATGGGAAAATATCATCTGTTCAGAAGCAGTGAGATGCTGGCCAGAGAGCCCTTGGGAACCCCCTTATGGCACCTGTTGCCCAAGTATCTGGTACCTGGCTAGCTCCTGGGCTTGCTCCGTGGCTTCCTCCAGAGCCCGCCTTGCTGCATCCTCTTCTTTTTGCTTCCTCTCCTCTGCCTCCAGCAGAGCCTTCTCTTCTGCTTCCTGTTTCCACCGCTGGTACTCTAGACGCTCCTCTTCAGCCATTTCCATCAGGCGTTTTTGTTCTTCTGCTAACTGCATTTCCAACTCCTTCTGCCTTTGCCTCTCTGCCGCTGCAAAGTTCATCAGGGATCTTATTATTGGGGGAAACAATTTTGTGATCTTACACTCATCTGCAGTTCCCAGGGACTCTGCATAAGAAGTTTTCAGCTTAATCCTCTTTGGGGATTACTCTGGGGGTTAGTTTACTGATTTAAGGGCCATTTATCAAGCACCAGAGTCCCTGGGTGATACAAACTGTTAACATGGTCAACTGCTAACTGAAAGATTAGAGATTTGAGTCTCTCCAGAGGTCCCTCAGAAGAAAGGCCTGGCAATCTACTTCTGAAAAATCAGCCACTGAAAACTCTGTGGAGCACAGTTCTGCTCTGACACACACGGGGTCTCCATGAGTTGGCGTTGACGTGATGCAACTGGTTACTGGTTATCAAGCACCCACTATGTGCAGTGCACTGTGTAATTAATGGAAAACCTTGGGGAAGAATTTTCCAGTGTCTGATGTGCTCATGGGATGGTATGCAGCTGAATTGGGAAGGAGTGTCAAATCCATGTCCGGAGAAACTGACCTGTTTGAAGAACCAGAACTAGGCAGTGGGCCATAGTGTGTCATTTGCTATAGTTCCCATCTCTTTCTCAAAACGGCAGCTGGCAAGATTCTGTGCATAAACACCTGAAAGTCTGCCCTGAAACTATCCAGATGTTTGTGACTCTGTCTGCTAGGGAAGGAAGCAAGTAGCAGGGCTATGTCTCCAATTTAGGTAGCTCCTGTTGTTAGTCACCTTCTTACCCATGGTGACCCCATGTGTTCAGGGAGAACTCCCCCGTAGGGATTTCAAGGTTGTGACCTTTTGGAAGCAAATTGCCAGCCAAGCCTCTCTTCCAAGCTAACGCCGGATGGGTTTGACCACCAACGTTTCAGCTAGTAGGCTACTAGTCAAACACTTACTTTTTCCCTCCAGCCAGGGACTCCAAGGCAATGCTGAAAGGGCAAAGGAAGGGGCAGATTCCTAGATCAGGAGATTATTGAATTTCCACAAGCCAGTCTTTCCTTTCTTATTCTAATTTTCTGTCTCATTTTCTGTCAACTCACTGTTGCTGCTGGCCTACCAACTCAACTCACTATAGTCACATATACAAGTAGTCCCAGACTTAATGATGTATTAGAGTTATGAGGAACTACACTTATGGCTGTCCTTGTATGTGTGTGTACATTTTATCATTAGTAATAAGAAGCTCTGGTGGTGTAGTGGTTAAGGCATTTGGCTGTTAACCAAAAGGTTGGTGGTTCGAATCCACCAGCCACTCTATGAAAGAAAGATGAGGCAGTCTACTTCCATAAAGATTTAGAGCCTTAGAAAACCAACGGGGAGGCTGCTATGGGTCGGAATTAACTTGATGGCAGAGTGGTGTTTTTTTTGGATTTGTCATTAGTAATATGTACTACATATACAGTAGTGCAGCATGTAATTTGCTGATGTTAGCATTCTTAGATGTTCCCTTACAGATGTTCAATTTTATGATTCATTAATGGCCTAGTTTACAATGAAGTCAGTATTGGTATTCGGAGTCTAGGAGAATCACCTGAAAATCTTGTTAAAATGTAAATTCTGATTTATTATATCTGGGGTGGAAATGGAAATTCTCAGCAGGGGGTTGAGCGAGAATGACTGGTTTGAAGCCCTGCATTAAAGACAGAGTCACACTGCTGCTTGGAGGAAATGCTTCTGGATTGAAATTAAAGCATTTTTTTAATTAACTGTTCTGAAAGCCCCTAAACATTCAAAAACATTGACAGGAATAAGATGCTGGTCTACTACAGGAGTAAATCCAAAGCCTGGATGACAATTGTGTTATCTGAAGACTGGTTTTAAAATTGTTTCATCCCAGAAGTGTGCACCTACTGCCTTGAAAAGAGCCTTCCTTTCACGATTCTGTTGCTACTTGATAATGCCCCAGGACATCCTCTGCAATGATGTAAAGTAACATGTGCAAGTGGTATCGCCACCTCCCAGCCTATGGTCAGCTATGGATCAGGGTGCAATCTCCATCTTCAAGGCATACAACCTGTGGACTACATTTGCCCAGATAACACCTGCAACAGGTGGAGGTATAGTAACATTGTGGAGTTTCTGGAAGAATTACAATATTCTTCAAGGTATCTGGATCATTGCATCTTCCTGGTAGGAACTTAAGGGAAAATGCATGCAGGGGATATGGAAAAAATTGCTGAGTTATGTGAACACACTCCAAACATTTGATCAAGTTAATATGATGAAAGAGATCAGTGGGAAAGTCATCCATATGGCTAGAACGCTAAATTTGGAACTTGATATTGCCGATAAAGAACAGCTTTATAGATCAGGAAGCAGGAGAATAGACAGATCAGGGCCTAGTAGATTTTGAAGAGGAGAGAAATGCTAAAGAAGAAAGGAATAACGAGGAAGAGAAAGCAGAGAAGTTGTCAAAAAATTTTACAGTGAAAGGATTAGCTGTTTTCTCCAAACTAAGTCAGGGGCTTCAGTGGCTTGAAAACAGGGACTTAAATGCTGATCACGTTGCTAAGGTTGATGAGCAGATTCAGGAAGCAGTGAGATGTTGGTGCAAAATATATGAAGAAAAAAAGAAAAGACCATACAGACGATGCTCACTAATTTTCTGACTAGAAATGCCATCCCTATTCCCAGGGATAATCTAGAGGATCCAGAACTTTGCACAAGTGGAATTAATACCACAGCTGACAAAATATCAATGTCATCCAACTCTTCTTCATTGTTGGAGTAAAGTTTTATGATTTGTGTATGTTTTTTATGTATGTATTAAAATATATCTGTAAGTTTGATGTAATAATTTCAACCCCTAAAGTCAAATAAAGATCAGATTTATAAAGATACTGATAATAAAAGGCAATAATAATGAAAACTAATAAAAAAAAAAAAAGAAAGATATTCAACTTACATCAGAACTGACTGGAACCATGTCTTAAGTCAGAAACTACCTGTAACTGTGTTGAAAGAATAGTTGATACATTTACAGTCCTTCACACACTGAGGCATGTGGTAGGAATAACTGAGGAGATGAAACTGAATATCCCATAGTGAGATAAAACTATCTCTGATCCAAGTGGATGAGAGATGCAGAGAGCGCCCGAATCCCCCTCACCAGCCCTCTCGGCTTCTTCCTGCTGCTTTTTCCTCTGCAGCTCTTGCAGTTTCCTCCGGAATTCTTCCTGCTGCTGGTGGGCTCTCTCCTGGGCCGCTTGCAACTGGAGCTGCTGCTTTCGTTGCTCTTCCTCCTGCCGCTGCCGCTCTTCTTCAAGTCTCTGTTTCCTCAAGCTGAGAAAATGCACAAGGTGGTCAGGGAGATGGCACAAACACTGGGACCTCCTTGTAAGACAAGCCAAAGGCAATGCCCCTGGTGGAGGCTCTGCAGCCTCCAGGCTAGACTGAGGCTATATGCTAGGAGCAGCATCCTGTTCAGAAGAGACTTGGTTTACTAAGGCGAGCCAGGATTGCAGAGCACAGGCAAGGACACAACAGCCTTGAAATTAGAAGCCTGAAATTTGAATACACAGCTCTATGCTTTGGGGTAAACCCATTGCTGTTGAGTCAGTTCTGACTAAGTGAGCCTATAGAGTAAAACTGCCTCCTAGAGTTTCCAAGGCTGGAAATCTTTATGGAGACAGACCGCCACATCTTTCTCCCATGGAGCAGCTGGTGGGTTAGAACCTCTGGCCTTTCAGTTAGCAGCCAAGCGCTTACCAACTGTGCCATCAGGATAGGAATCATAAATTCTCAGAGCTTCATTTTCCACTCTTATGAAATGGATTTTGCAAACCCCTACCTCACAAAGTTGTTGTGAAGATTAAATTGAATGAGTTAAGACCTGTGAATGGGCCTAGCATGATCCAGATAATTTGGCAGGGGCTCAAGAAATGTTTGTCAGATTTGAATTTCAAAGCCTGCCTTAGAAGATCCCGTGAACATCTGTCTTGAGTAGCCCACTGCATCTTAGCTTTGGTCCAGGTTCTTCCACGGTTAACTGGGGATAGAGGAAAATGAGGGGATAGAGGATAATGCCGTTTAACATTAGGGCATGTGCCTCAAAAGCAAATTTTGCCCTAGTGCAGGTCAACATCCGGGAGCTCTCTGGCGGCCTGACCCACCGGATCTCCTCTGCTCGTCTCTGCTGCTCCAGCCCCAGCTCCTCTTTCATCTTCTCCGCCCTCTCCAGCTGCTCCTGCTGGAGCCTCCTCTGTTCCTCCTGCTCCCTTCTCTTCCTCTCCACCTCCAGCCGTCTCATCTCGGCCTTCTCTGTTCGCAGCCTGTCCCGGGAAGCTTTCTCTTGCTCCATCTTGGTGAGGAGGGCCTAAGAAACCAGAGAATTCTCAATGTGAAGGGCAGTGTTGTGATTATGGGTGTCCTTGTGTCATCAGTAAGCCCTCCTCCAGCCCAGACAGTGTTATCTGTAATCAGAGATGGGACCATAGAGTGGAGTTAACACATTGATGACAGCTGCATAAACTCTGGTGGGATCAGCTTGGGCTTTGAGGTCCCATTGACCTAGATTCAAGTCTTTCTCTACTGAGCTTTGGGATTTAAGGATCACAACTTAATTTCTCTGGTATTGTCTTCCTCTTGGAGCTGATACTAGGATTAATTGAAATAGTGAAAGTGCCACCATAATGTTTAGCAAATCTTCTCTTCTAGAATTTTCAATCCTAGCTACACTTTAGAACCTCCCCAAACCAAAAAACCCAAACTCGGTTGCCATGGAGTTGATTGCGACCCTATAGGACAGAATAGAACTCCCCCACAAGGTTTCCAAGGCTGTGATCTTTATGGAAGCAGACTGCCATAGCTTTCTCCCATGGAGTGGCTGATGGGCCATACAGCCAAATTTTCTATTAGAAGCCAAGTGCTTAACCACTGCCCTAGTAGGGCTCAGCTTAGAGGTGCCCAAAGAACTTTTAAAAATGACCTAGGCCAGGGCCCCCACCCTCCAGACTATCCTAATGAGACTCTCTAGGGGGAGAAGCCTCCTTGGGTATAAGATCCTCTGATAATTCTAATATGAAGCCAGGGCTAGAACCTGGTTCTAGATAACAACTCTTGCATCAGGGGCAGTCTTAGGTTTGGATATGTCAGTCTCAAGTTTAATCCTGTACAAACCTACTCTTTAATGAAAGGTGGTTCTCTCAGTGAATGGGAAAGACAAGCTAGCTTGCTCTGTTCTCCCCAGTGCCTCCTCCTCAGTCAGAGAGATGCTCCTAAGAGGAACCTTGAGAGCAGGGCTTCTACCAGAACGAATGCAGAAATCTCTTGGGGATCTTGATAAAATGTAGATTCTGATTCAGTGTTTTCTGGGGTGAAAATGCAAATTTTCAGCAGGGGGTAGCACTGGAATGGAGCGCTTCCATAGGAACTCCGTGTATCAACCTGGAGTGAAACTTCTTTTTTTTTTTTTTAAGCTTTTACAGACACAGCACGGTTCTGGGGATGGATGATCGATCTATGAAATTCCGATTGTCTAGCAGGCACAAACATGTTCTGCCCACAGATTAAAATGTTCATCTGCTGTGCAGAATAGAATTCCTTAATCTAGGCATATGGGAGGGATTGAGAAAAAGGACGAACTCCTGAAATATTTTTTGGAAGACCATGGGCTATAAAATAAATAAATAGATGATAGTTCAAAATAGACAAGAACCTTGAATTTGGAGTTAAAGGACCTGAGTTTAAGTCTTGGTTCTATTACTTGATGAATGTGCAGTTTCTGGCAACTGCCATCTGTTGCCTTTGAGCTTTAGTTTCCAGGTCTGTAAAGTGGGCCTAATCATACCTGGTTCACGAATGTAGTTGCAAAGATTAAATGAGATTCAGCAGGGTTGTACCATATACACATGTAATTTATGTAAATATAACAATCCTGGTTTAGCTATGGGTGCAGTTTTGGCATTTAAAAATACTTCCTCCCCCTGCTAGTACAACCAGACCTCTAAATGCAGTTCAATACCTTAACCTCAGTGGAAAAAATAGTGATCTATTCCAACAGCAGAGGAAACATTGGCAATGTTGGTCTTATTGAGAAATGATGTATCTGTATGCTATACTTTTAGTCTAATTTTGTCTAATTGCAGGGATTTTCTCAGGTAATCTTCCTTAAATGCCAACATTAGAATCTAGGCCCCTGGAACAGGTGTCTGTGTATAAGCTGTATGTGGGTTGTCTGTGGTCCAGCTGTGTGCCACAGAAAAGCAGATTAAGAAAGGGGTATTTTCCATACCTTTGGGAGGAAAGCAATGGTGAGAAGCTGCCAAGCTCCAAGCCAAGCCAAGCCAAGGCTTGGCTCTGATGTCCAGTATCCACCTTCCACTGTAACTATGAGTGCTACACCTCTCCCAGAGCAATGCTGTGTCAGCTTCCTGCTCTTTAAGTGGTGGATACTTGCCCTGGCAGTTTGGGAGTCTTTACAGAATGCAACGTGTTCAAGGGGCATGGCCACACTGTATCTCTGATAAGGTCTGTCCTCTTAAAAGGGTTGGACATTACCAAAATGAAAAAAAAAAAAATCATTATATAGTAGACATGGTTCAGTGACTGTAATATAAACATTAAGAGTCCTTAGGTGGTACAAACAGTTAAGTGCTCTATCATTAGCTGATAGTTTGAACCTACCAAGAGGAACATTGGGAGATGGGACTGTTGATCTATAGCCTTGAAAACCCTAAGGAGCAGTTCTGCTCTGCATATGTGGGATCGCCATGAGTCAGAATTGACTAATGAGAGCTAACAGCAACAACAGTATAAATAGGGGCATTTTTTCATCCACCTCTGCAATTGCACCAATCCTACCTTGGAAGGGTCATCATGGCTTCTCTCTTCTTCAGGTTCCATGTTTCCAGTGACAGTTCCAGCATGGGTGGGTGGTAATCTTCCATCTATAGAAACTTGGCTCTCCAGAACATCATATTTGGGAGAAAGCCAAGGGTCCTCTACAATGGAGTTTGAAGGAAAGAAACCTTTATCTGAGTTGTCTTCTCTTTCCTCAGGCCCACTCAGCTCTGCTATCTCCAGAATCCTTTCCTTCTGTCTCTTCTTCCTTTTGGCTCCTGGCTTTTTTTCTTTGGGGATTAGCTTTAGTTTCTTTTCAGCCTTTGACTCCCTTGACTTTCCTGGGGAAGAACAATTGGGGACAGAGGTGTTGCTGAGATATGTAAAGGTGATCACCATGCATCCTCTTTAATGGTTTTTAAGCCTCAGTGTGCAGTGGTATCACCTGGGGTGCAGGTTCCGGGAGCCCCATCCCCAGAGTCTGATTGAGTAGGAACCTGCACCTTAATAGCCATCCCAAGTGTTTTGAGAAAGGTAGTTCACAGGGATCAAATTGACAACAGCAACTAGAAAGATCAGACAGGAAATTTATTGGGCAGATATTTATATTAGTTGGGAAGGAACAACTCAGAAAAGGAAGGTGAGAATGGTTACATAACTCGAAGAATATAGTGAATGTCACTGAATTGTACAGGTAGAAACTACTGAATTGGTGTATATTTTGCTGTGTATATTCTCAACAAAACAACAAAACAAATGAGAAATTTTTAAAAAGTGAAAAAAACAGGTAGTCCACAGACCACCCTTTGAAAACTGCATTGTCCTATTTGAATCAACTGAAATTCAGCAGTCTTACTACTGAAAAAGTTGTATTTCATCCTGACCTATGGTGAGAGTGGGACTCTGGAAGGGGAGACCTGTTGACATAACTGGAAAGTTATGCCTGCATCTGACGTGAGGTTGCAGTTTGATAACCTGACAGAGTTGAAGCCTTCCATCTTCCAAGGACTCTTCCTCCACTCACCTCTGGAGGCCACAAGTATTTCCTTTTCCCAGTCCTGCCTATGCGGCCCAAATCATGGGCTGTAAAAATGTGCATTCATAAGAGTCTGAAAAACAGACCTTGAGAATGGATCTAGCCTAATGTCCTCTTTGAGGGCTTGTGATTTGTTTGGAGAGTCTTCTAATCATGTGGCCAGGAGAGGATGGCTTTTAGACGAAAAGTTTTCAGAAGGATAGGAATCTGAGTTCCTTATAAGGCTTATAAGAGGGAGATTGCAACGTAGACAACTGAGAAGGAAAATGGTAGCTGGGGTGGCCATTCAGAGCTTATTGTAAACTCACTCCCCTCTATAAATGCTCTCATTTCCCCATCCTTAGATTATAATATAATTGTTAATTCATAATGGCATGTGTTTGTAATAGCATGTGTTTGAAGTCAAATAAGCAGGGATCAACCCTGGGCCCACTACTTAATATTTGATCTTAGGCAAATCATCTAACCTCTCAGGCTCAACTACTGCATGAATATAATTATAGTATATTCATGGAGATGTTGTGAAGATTTCATTAGATCATATATACAGAGCTCTTAATGCATTCAGTAAATGGAGTCCCTGGGTGGTGCAAACCAAAGCTGAATGTTAACCAAAATGTTGAGGGTTTGAGTCCATCTAGATTGGAAGAAAAGCCTACTTCTGAAAAATTAGCCACTGAAAACCCAGTGGATCACCGTTCTGCTCTGACACAAATGGGGTCACCATGAGTTGAAGTCAGCTCAACAGCAACTGGCTTACTGGTTATTCAGTAAATTGTTGCTGTCTTTGCTATCATCACCATCATTTCCTCTCTTGGGAATCACAGGCCTCTAGGCTCCGTGGTTTCCTCTATCCTTCATATGGACACAAAGTAAAGCAGCAACAGTCTCTTAGTTGTGGTAGTCAAGGAAACTCAAAACAGAGCCTGTTCTGCAGGATACATGCTGATTCTCCTTGCCACCTCCCGCCCCTACCCAGGAGGAATTTTCCCTTGTGTCATCCCTCAAGGGAGCTCTGGTGGTGTAGTACCTAAGGCATTTTTGACTGCTAACCAGAAGGCTGGCGGTTCAAACCCACCAGCCACTCCTCGGAAGGAAAGTAGGGCAATCTACTTCCGTAGTGATACCACATTGGAAACCAAGGAGGGGTTGCTATGACTGTCCACTCAATGGCACTGTGGCAGTGAGTTTGGTTTGGTTTGATTTGCTATTCCTCAAAACCACACTCCCTTACCAGCAGCAGTCTCTGCTCCACCATGGACCTTTCCTTCTCTTTCCGCCTTGGGTGCCTTGGGCTTGTCTGTCTTGATTCTTTTCTTTCTCTTGGCTTTGTCAGTCCATTCCCTCTCCTAAAGGTGAGAAATTAAGTAGAGGGACTATGATACGTGTAGGAAACAAATGAACAAACAAAAAAACTGTTAAAGGAAGATGAAGTTGAATAAGGTAACAATGGAATTCATGTGGGTTCCAGAAGAAGCAGAAGAGTGAGGGGTCTTAGAGAGCGTGGAGCCTCTGGAGAGAGTCTGAGGTTCAGCCTTTGATTTAAAAGTACTAGGTGTTTTTTCTTCCTAGGAGCTCTGGTAGCATAGTGCCTAAAGCACTTGACTGCTCACCAGAAGGCTGGCGGTTCAAACCCACCAGCCACTCCTCGGAAGGAAGGTTGGACAATCCTACTTCCATAGTGATACTGCCTCGGAAACCCAAGGAGGGTCTCTATGAGTTGGGGCCGACTCGACGGCAAACAACAACAACAACAGGTGTATTTTCACAGGAGAAAAGAGGAATAGAATACACTCCATGACCTGCCTCCTACTTTTGATGCTGAACCATGGCCTCCAGAGCTGGATCAAGGTGAGGCAGTTTTCACCTTTGATTGACTGGCATTGCCATGATTAATGGTTAGCTGTTTTAAATCAAAGCCAGCTTTATTCACTGCTGCCTCATTTGCTAACTTTCTGGAAACCTCAGACAGATGACCTCAGCCATTTAAATCTCTACTTGTCCTATGAGTCAAGACAGCATGGATTTACTCCTAAGACAGGATGGCAGAGTGAGGCCACATCTACCCATTCAGAACCTTTGTAGGGATTAGAAATGGGACCCCCATCCGTCAGGTGGATGCAGCCTTATCTTGGGGTACAGGATGTGGTGAGTGGACCACAGGCTGGATTTCAGCTCCTCCTTGCCCCTTTGTATAGTAATTGATCTACATGGTAGCCTTGATGGTGAACATGATCCAGATTGGATCTTCAGACCAAGCACCTGAATGTTTACACTCACCATACTGGTGCTGACTGGGGTCTGCTGGTTGAACAGTCTTGTTTCAGCCTTCCCTTCTCTTTCTCCTGGAAGAAGAGATGTATCCACAAGATCCGACCTCTCTTGTGACCCAGGCCCCTGTCCTGGAAGTCCTCTGTGCAGGTGGTGTAGGTCATTATCTCTGTCCCTTTGAAAAGAACAACCCACAGGACCAAACTCAAGATAAAACTCCCTGGTGGTCAAAGAGGCGGGAAAGTGAACTGACACTGATAGAGTGCCTATTCTGTGCCAGGCCTTGTGCTGGACAATTTACTTACTTGTTCAACAGCTTTTTCTCAACATGTCCCTGAATAAGTGAGGTGAGGAAGTGAAAGGGGAGCTGATGCATTGTGGTAAATTGTAGTCAGTGTCATGAGACAAAGTGTATATGAACTGCTGTATGGAAAGTGAGTTTGCTCTGTAAATTTTCACTCAAATCACAATTAAAAAAAAAAAAGAATTGCTATCACTGACTGTGCCCAGAGGATAACTGACTTAAGCCCTCCAGGCAAAAAGGCCACTAAGAAACAGTCACTTGCATTTCAGTAACAACAGAAGCAGCTACTAAGTACTGGGTGCCTGCTGTGTGTCAGACTTGATTTTGGGCATTTTATTTTCTCACTAAATCAGTATTATGTTTACTTTGCTGTGCTAGCATAGGGCCTTACTGTAGAGACTTGAGAAATATTTGTTGAATGAGGTAAATGGAATTTCCTGTAAATAAATGAGTCTTTAGATCATTCCATGTCACTCCATAAAAACCCACAGAAGAAGTCTCCTTTAGAATTTAGTGCTAGAAGAAACCTTTATTTTCCCTGAGGAACAGGTGTGCTGCAAAGGAGAACCACAAACTGGACTGGTGTTCCTCTTTTGCTCCTTTTTTTTTTTTTCGTGCTTTCCTCATTAAGGAATTTATGTCAAGTCTCAGATTCAGTTACAATGACTCTATAATGACTGTAATGACTTGTGGAGTGTTTGTGTTCTCTTTATTTTGGTTCCTGATTTTGTAAAAAAATCTTTTAAAATTGTTTCATCTCTTGTATTAGTTATCCTTGTAAATAGTTTAAATTTGTTGTGGAAAGAGATGAGGTGTAAAATTTGTAACAATTCCTTAGATAGTTTCCATACCCATCAAAACACATTTTCCCAGGGGCAGATTACCCGATGGTGAAACCCGTATGAAATTGTTCACTGCAGATTAGTAAGTAAGCACAAGTAAGTTCATGCTTACCTTGCTTATTAGATTATCCAACACTGCATTTTCTGCCTTTTTTCCTGGGGACATATGGCCTTTTGGACTCTCAAGGGGATCCTTAGGCCCCACCAAGGCTCATGTTGTTATTGTTAGGTACTATGGAGTCAATTTCCATTACAGCCCCCTTGTAGGGCAGAGCAGAACTGCTCCATACGGTTTCCTAGGCTATAGTCTTTTTAAGAACAAATTACTATGTCTTTTCTATGGAGCTGTTGTTGGTGGGTTTGAACCACTGACCTTTTGGTTAGTAGCCAAGCATTTAACCATTGCACCACAAGGGCTCCTCAAGGCTCATGGGAGATCACAGTTGGCAGTGGTTCAGGTGGGAGGCAGAGACATGGCAGCAGCTGCTATTGCCAGTGACTGCATCTGAGGGGCTGAGCCGGCAGAGTCAATGAGTTAATATTAAAAGGGCCTGGCACATAGTGATCACTCAATGGAATTTAGGAGTTATTATGGCCAGAGTTAAGTATATGCTGATAGAAGAAACCAAGGTTTAAGCTGACAGACCTCAGCTTTCTAGGCATCTCTGTAGATCTCAGATATATAGACAAATGGAAAAAGTCACTTTGATATTGTTACAGTTAAACTCCACTCTTTACCTTTCCACCCAAAGCATTACATCATAAAATAATCCTCCCCACGAATCTTTGGTTCTTAGACAACAGTTTAATTCTGGCTGTCAGAGTGTGTGCTTCCCAGGAAAAAATAATTACATGCAAAATAAAAGCAGAGAAGTCCATGCCATCACAACTTTAGACACTTACACTTTTTGGACAGAATGTGGCTCAGGTGCCTGGATGTGTTCAGCAGGGGAAGTGCTGAGAGGGCCAAGGGTCATAGTCTCTGACTCCGGGTCTGTGAAAACAAAGAGGACCCTCAATCAGCAAAAGGACACAGGAGGAGCAAGGATGGGAAAATGTCTACCTGGTGAAGAGTCAAAGGCATGCAAATGAAAACAATGAGGTATGTTACCCCTGGAAATTAGCCAGTACTGCAGAAATCAGTGCTGGCACACAGCAAGCGACATTACAATTAGTAAGACCATTTGGGAAAGCAACGTTACAATATGTATCAAGAACCAGAAATATGTTCCTAGCCTTTGATCAAGAATCTTATTCCAGATATTCACCAGAAGGGAATAACTCAAAAGAAGAAACAAGCTTTTTGTGCCAGCTTATTTATTGCAACATTATCATTAACAAAATAAAAAAAAAAATTGGAAATGATCCAACAATGGAAGACTGGAGAAGTAATTTATGACACATTATTTTCACATGAAAAATTACGTTAAGAAAATAAATAAGCAACATGGAAAATATGATATGACAAGTAAAAATATAAACTATAATATGTAACATTAACAGAGAATGACAGCTGATTAAAGTACCTTTGTGATAAGAGGAATTCTATGAGGTTTTCTTTGGTTAACAGTGATGGCTTAGGAAAACCTGGCTCATTGAAGGCCTGTAATTCTTCATGATTTTGAACTCTGGAACAGCGCATGATAATACCAGCAGAGGGCGATTTTGTATTAACCAAAAGCTGAGGTTCTACATTTGTGTAAGTCTCACCATTTTGATTAGAATTGAAACCGTGTCAATTCTGGGATGTGGTCCATGGAAAGAGGATTTTTTTTCTCCCCTAGTAAAATAACCTGATATTTAGCAAGTAGTGGAACAAACTAAGACAGTCTTTTGAGTAATACCTTACAACTTTTAACTACTTAAAAGATGTGTAAAATATTTGAGCATGCAGAGTATAGAAAAAATATCGTATAGTGATCATCCATATACTTAACCTAGTTTGCAAAACGCTAGCATTTTGTTATATTAGATTCACATATTTTTTTAAAAGAAATAAAACATTTCAGATACAGCCCAAGGCTTCACTGTATCACTATGCAATCCCATTTCCCTCATTCCCCAGAGATAACTACTATTTTAAATTTTGTAGCTATCAGTCCTCATGCGTATTTTTACACCTTTGCCACATATAAATGCACCCATAAACAACACATGGTATTATTTTACACATTTAAACTTTGCATAAATGATATCATTTATGTAACTTTGCAACTTGCTTTGTTTTGCTTAGGAGCTCTAATGGCGTAGTGTCTAAGGCACTTGACTGCTAACCAGAAGGTTGACAGTTCAAACCCACCAGCCACTCCTCGAAGGAAAATTGGGCAATCTACTTCTGTAATGATACCGCCTCGGAAACCCAAGGAAAGGTTGCTTGCTGTAAGTTGGATCCGACTCCATGGCAGTGAGTTTGGTTTGGTTTTGGTGGTTTTGCTTAACATATTTTTGAGGTTGATCCATGTTAGTACATGTAGCTTTCATTCATTCATTTCAAGATGCTATACGGTATTTCATTGTATGAACATACTCACTAACCCACTGCTGTTGAATGGGATCCGACTCACAGCAACCCCTCCTCCTTGGGTTTCCGAGGTGGTATCACTACGAAAGTAGATTATGCAACCTTCCCTCTGAGGAGTGGCTCGTGGGTTTGAACTGCCAGCCTCCTGGTTAGCAGTCAAATCCCTTAGGCACTATACTACCAGTACTCCTTGTATGAACATAGCACAATTTATTTATAGTTTTACTGTATTGATGGTTTCCAATTTTTCATGATTAGAAACAATGCTGCAAGAAGAGTGAGTCCCTGTTAATATATACAAGAATTTCTCTAAGGTATACCTGGGAGTGGAATTGTTGAATTGCAGGATATATGCACATTTTAAATTTTATCAACTATTTCCAAACTGCTCTGAATTTCTAACACTTCACATCCTCATCAGTAATGGGTGTTTACAGATTTTTTAACTATTGCTAATCAGATATATACAAAATGATGTCTTTTCAGTGTTTTAACTTGAATTTTCCTGAAGTGTAGCAAGGTTAAACTTTTTAATGTATGGCCATTTACCTTTTTTTTTAATGCAAGAAACATGTGCATTCTACCTTTTTTTGCAAATAGCACAACCTTCTCATGCATTAGTTTCCTATGTGCACTTTGAATGTTATATGTGTGCATGTGTTATTTACGTGAGCACATTCTATGCAAAAAATAGGTATTTGAGATTCCTTTTGTGTTACTTGTTCATATCTTTTGCCTGTATTCTTTTGGGTTGGTTGTCTTTTCCCTTCCTTATTTACAGAAGCTCCAACTGTATTTTGGATACTAACCTTTGTTTGTTATATGCATTGCAGATATGCTCTCCTCTTTGTGATTTGTCTTTTAACTTTGTTTATGCTGCCTTGTCAAAAGCTTTACATTTTAATATAGTCAGATTTATCAGTAACTTTCTTTAAGGTTTGTGTTTTTGAATCATGAATAAGAAAATTTTCCCTTTCCCAAATTTGTAAAGATAGTCTCCTATATATATATATTTTTCTAAAGGTGTTAAAGTTTTGCTTTTTGTAGTTAGATCTTGAACGCACTTGATATCTATTTTGTATGTTTTTGAGGTAAGAATTTAAAAACTGGATAACTAGTTATCTAAAAATGATGTTTCTCTACTGTTTTATGTCACTTTTTGTCATACATCAAGTTTCCATATACTGTTACTTTTGTTTCTGGATTCTCTATTTTCTTTTGTCCGCCCCTGAGCCAAAATCATACAGACTCATTTACTACAGCCTTAAAAGTAATTTTTGATATCGGGCAGTGCAAACTCTTCCACTTTTTTATCAGACTTGTATTGGCTATTTTTGGTCCTTCTGTGAGAATTTTAGGATCAATTTATCATGTTCCATGAAAACCCTGGTTTGGGATTTTTAAAATTGGAATTGCACTGTACTTAGAGACTAATTTAGGGAAAATTACCTCCTTTATGACCCTGAGTCTTTCTATATATGAATATTAAATACAGCATTATAGAGAACATTGTGTTTATTCAGGTTAACTTTTATTTACTTTAATAACATTTTATAATTATGGAAGTCTCTCATACATCTTTTATTGGATTTGTAACTGTTGTGGGGTGCCATCAGGTTGTTTCAGACTCACAGTGCCCCCATGTGACAGAGGAGAACTGCCCACAGGGCTTTCTTGGCTGTAATTTTTACAAGAGAAGATTGCTAGGCTTTTTCTTGGGGAGCCCTGGGTGGATTCAAACTGCCAACTTTTGGTTCAAAGCTGAGTGCTTAACCATTGTGCCATCAGGGCTTCTTAGATTAGTAGATTATATATATATTCCTGGGAGCTCTGGTGGCGTAGTGCCTAAGGCATTTGACTGCTAACCAGAAGGTTGGTGGTTCAAACCCGCCAGCCACTCAGAAGGACGGTTGGGCAATCTCCTTCGTAGTGAAACTGCCTCGGAAACCTGAGGAGGGGTTGCTATGAGTCAGGTTCGACTCAACGGCAGTGAGTTTTTTTTTTTTTTTAAATATATATTCCTATTGTGAATGTTATATTTAAAAATTACATTTTCATATATTTAAATCCATGAATTAACAATAAAAATAAAGAAAATAACTAGGTCACTGTTGGAGAATCCTGGGGAACCAACTCATTATGAAAACTAAATAAAGAAAAAGAACTAAGCATTTATCCTGCTTTCCTGTGTAAACTGTTTCACTGAATAAATAGTAGATGAGAAGTTTCTCTTTATAGATGTTTCCCAACTAGTAAATAAAGAAATAATGATAGAATTTCATTATTACCGTTTTGCGACCTTTCATGAATTAATGATTCTCTAGTTGCTGGCATCATGAAAAGAAAGACAAACATTATGTCTTGTGACTAAGAATATTTTCCTGGATTCTTTCAATGGTTTGTCTTGTCTATAGCCTCTTAAATTATGTCTCGTGACTAAGAATAATATAATATAACTTGAAGTAGTCTTGCCAGAAGGGAAAACCAAACCTGAATCTGATCAAGCCTCCAGGTCCAAGTAAGTACTAATTTATGGAAATGCAGAAAACTATATTATGAAGAGACAGTCAGCAATATTTAGATTATGGGAAACTCTGTAGGACATGTGACTCAATTTCCTAAAAATAAATTAAAAGGAGGGAAAAAAAGAAATAGAAAAGAACCTATAAATTAATTGAGAATAAAAGATGATGGCAAGTAATTGTAAACAAACAGATTCTAAAACAATTATAGTAAATGTGAGACAATTAGAATTTTGATACTGAATATCCAATTACATTAAAGAATCATTCTAATTTTTATAAGTATTAATGGTATTATGGTTTTTTCAAATGAGTCTCATCTTTTGGAGATATACACTGAATTATATATGGGTAAAATGATATGTATCTGGGATTTTCCCCAAAATGATAATGGAAGGGGTGAAGAACTTGGGGATATAGGTGAACAATATTGGCCAAGAGATGAGTATATGGGATTTATTGTGCTGTTCTGTTGACCTTTGTGTATATTTGGGGTTTTCTACAATAACAATTGTTTTAAAATTATATTTTAAATTGTGTTTAATGTTCTGAAACACAATTTATTTTTCTCCACAATTGATTTTTACATATTGACCTCTATTTAGTAATTTTGCTGGATTCTTTCAATGGTTTGTCTTGTCTATAGCCTCTTAAATTGTCTTGTGACTTGTCTATAGCCTCTTAAATTTTCCATGCAAGTGATAATGTTGCCTGGTGATAATGACAGTGCCATTTTCTTTTTCTATCTTTTTACCTTTTATTTCTATTGCTTTTCTTACTGTGCTGGCTAGGACCGCACGTAAAATGTTGAGACAGAAGTAGTGATAGAGAGCATCCTTGTCCTATTCCTGTTTCTAAGAGAATGCCTCTAAAGTCCAACCACTAAAACGTGATACTTACTAGAGGTTTTTTGATAGGTTCTCTTTGTCGTAGTCAGGAAGCTCCCTTCTATTCCGAGTTTGATCATTTTAAATCATGAACGGGTGAATCTTATAAAATGAATTTTCTGTATCTATTGAGATGACTGTAAGGCTTTTTCCCTTTAACCTTTTGATGTGAATTACATAAACAGATTTTCAAATGTCAGACCATATTTAAATTCTTCATATAAATCAAATTTAGTCATGGTATTTTGTTTATTTTTAAATATAAGCTTAAGGATTTTTTTTTCTTTTTAGGATATTTGCATCTCTGATCATAAGTGAGATTGGTCTATAAATTTCCTTTCTTACACTGTCTTTGTTTCTTGTTTCAACTGCTTTTTAGTTTTGATGCATTTGGCTCTCATGTTAGAAATGAGTTTTCTTTCCTGGGAGGTGAAGAGAATCTTCAAAATCAAGGGACAAGAACTGTGTCTTGGAACTCTGGGGACCTCCTTGGGGATTCCACCCTGGAATTAATGGGAGTAAGTTGGAAACATTCTGAAGGCAGACACACCACTATGGAGGAGAACTTTGAAATACTTTCCAGAAGGAAAAATAAGACAGTACCAGATCAACTGGGCTGTTATGAACTAGCAGAAGATTCTGAACTCAGTACTGGGGGCCCCAGGAGGTAAAGCCTGACAGTGTACAGCAATTGTGTAGGCCCCATGTAGAGCAATGTAGAGCAATGTGGGGAGCAAGGAGCCCACCAAGTGGCTGCCCTTTGCATTGGTTCCACGGTTCCACCTTCCAGCTATAGAATCCTGTGCAGTCTGCAAGGCCTCCACTCCTGGGCAGATTCTTGGTGTCTCCCTGTTTTCTCTACAGCTTTAAGAGAAACTTTGCCAAACCTCGCTACTCCTCCCTTCTTTGCACAGGTTGGACAATGAGAAAGGGGCAAATAGGCGGCATCTCCTGACTTCCTCTAACTTCACAAGAGGAAGACAGAATCACCGTCAGCAGCCCAAGGCCTGTTCGTATTAGGCCAGACATGCCGCCACCCTCCAGCCCTCTTACCAACCTTGACACCAACCATCCCTTCTGTGGCATTTACCACCTCTCTGCTGGGTTCAATAATTCGCTGCAGTGGCCACACAGAACTCACAGATTATGGGGTTTATTAGAGAAACAATGGGATACAATTCAAGTTCAGGAACACACTCAGGATATAGTTCTTTGATCAGCACAGTCTCCCCTCTGCTGTGCTCTTAGACATGCCTCTCTGTCCTCTGTCCTCTGTGGGCCGGGTAAGCCTGCTGCTCTGTCTCATACCTCCTGGTTCCACTGCTGCCATCTCTTAGCCAGGCATCTCTCCCAGCCAGGAGTCTCTCTCAGTTGGGTGTCTCTCTCAGCTAGGCATCTCTCTCACCTGGGTGTCTCTCCCAGCTGGGCATCCATCTCTCTCAGTCAGCAGGGAGATTTTTTCCTGCCTCTAGGAGGGCTCATTTTAAGCCTGGCAGAGTGGCAAAACTAAGTAATCCCAACTTCAGAGTTCTGCACACCTGAGAGAGAGTGAACTTTCCCAAAATATTACTTCATACTGCTCCAACAGAAATAACCCAGGTGGATGACTTTAACAATCAAGAGTTTAAAAGCAACTACTCGCTGTAATGTGGTGGGAGTTACAAAGATTATGGCTAGAAAAGCCATACCATGTAATTCACTACACCACAGATAGACATTATATTGCTCTAAGGGTGTTTGAGCTCCCTGGTTGTGTAAATGGTTTGTGCTTATCTACTATGCTAAAAGTTGGTGGTTCAGACCCACCCAGCAGGACTGAGAAAGAAGGGCCTGGAGATCTACTTCTATAAAGATTATAGCCAAGAAAACCCAATGGAGCAGTTCTATTCTGTATTTATGGGGTGAACTGGAATCGACATGATAATATAATGGGATTTTTGGTTTTGGAGGTAGTTTTTCCTGGAGCTGGGAACTGCTCCTGAGGAAAAGCCTTCCAATCTCAACTGAACTGAACTAAAACTAAACTAAACGAAAAATTAAACTAAACTAAACACAATGGCCTCAAACACTGGGCAGAAACTTGGGTATCTTGGTTTTAATAATTAGCTGTTATTTTGCATAATTCCCTTGACTTCTAGGGCTACTCCTTGAGTTCCTTCATTGTAAGATAAAAGTACTTCTAGAGATTCTAAATAATCTCAAGATTCATGTTGGCTTTACATATGCTCCCATAATTTTGTGCTGTTTTCCCTACTTCGTAACTGTTTCTTAATCAGAAACACATGCATGGAATTACAACCCTTAAAGTGCCTTGGAGTGAAAGAAATCTGTGTTCAAGTCTCCATTCCTGCCCTTAATTGGCTGTATGATCTTGGGCAAGTTACTTAACCTCTCTGGGTCTCAGTTTCCTCATCTGTGAAATGGGGACAATGCACTTTACCTCATATGGTTATGGTGAGGATAAAATGAGATAAACTACATAAAGCACAGTGCCTTACTTCACAGAAAGTGCAAATAATCCGCTCCCTTTTCTCCATCTCTCAACTGTGTGGGAAACTAACCAAAAGAAAACTTGTAACAATTTAAGAGTCCAGATTGTTTGGGTGGGTGGCACTCCAGGAGTATTTTCCATTTGCCTGCCCCTCAACCGTTTCTCTAGGGTCTAAGTATGCCTGTTTTTCAGATTTTTAGATCTCCTAGCTCTGCAAGTCTCCACCTAGATATGGAATCCACAGGAGGTCCAGTGTGTAGAGACATCACAGGCAACCACAAAGAGGGAAAGAAAAGATTAAAAGATGCGACAGACCCACAGACTGAAGAATAGACCCTCTGGGGAGAGACCAGCCTGGAACCTGGAGCTTACTGCCAAGGAGTGCCTTTGGTAAGGAGTTCGCAGGCAACAGGTGGGGAGGACCACTGGGAGAGAGGGTCTAGCAGGAGCCTCCCTGGTGAGCAGGCACTGCGGGGACTGGAGCTGGGCTATTGAAGTAACAATTTAACAAACGCCTTAGCCAGGCTAGAAAAGATGCTTTCCTTGTGCAAAGCTAAGTGACCTAACACAGGCCTTCGTGTCCTGCTGCAGAGGCAGAGGCAGTACTAACCTGCTGGGCCCTTTGGTACTTGTACTCCCCTCACCTAACCCTGCCCCTGCCACCTCTATTTGCCACAATTTTTTTTTTTTTTTTTGGTGGGGGTGAAGCATTTCTTTAAATCTCTATTTCCCCTTGACTTTTCTTCTGCTTTCTCCTCCTCCGCCTGCAAGTACTCTAGGGTCGACAAACCCTGCCTTTCATAGCTATTAGCAACTGGGAGAATTAATCTCTGCAGAGTCTGGTGCGGTTGGTCAGACCTGGGTGTGCACCTGAGCCTCACCACTGCCCCTTGAATACTTCAACATTGCCAGAGGACGCCACCACGATCTAGTGGCTCGGACCGCCCTGAGCTGTGGGTGACAGGGGCTGAGTCTCTAGAGATGCCGGTGCCGACCTGGTCTGCAGGAATATCATCTTAGGCAGGGACCTAGGTTCCTTTATTGCATTGCCAATCCCCTGAGGGAGCAGGAGGAACAGAGGTGGAGATGCCTGGGTTCTTTTTGTAATGCCCCTAAAGTCTCTACTCTCCTCCATGAATCTGCAGCCTTCTGGCAGGAAAGAAATCTTTCAGTAAATCCAAGCACCTAAGCTGTTGCGTGGAATTGACTCTGCCTCGTGGCCACCCCTGTGTGTCGGAGTAGAACCGAGCTCTGTGAGGTTTTCAGTGCTTGCTGGTCAGGCCTTTTCTTTGGCGGCACATCTGGGTGTACTTGACCGTCCAAACTTTTGGTTCGCAGCTGAGCCTGTTAACCATTTGCACCACTCAGGGACTCTTCCAAGGACATAGAAGCGTATTATTATTTGATTTGTGATGCACTAAGAATACATCAGAGCTGAATATTAGCACTCGGGTCTCTAAGCTGATTTCCAACACATGACCTGAAAGGAAATGGAGGGGTCATTCCCATTAACATCTTTTAACAGTGCAAAGTTCATCCAGCAATTACAGTGATAAAATTATAAAACTCAACCCAGCTGTCTCTACCTTGGCTGTCTTGATTTTCTGCGAGGGGCCCTCCTGGCTCTTCATGATGGTTCAGTTCATCTCTACTTTCCTGTTACATTAACACATGACAAGGAATACACAAGAGAAAATAGATGCACACACTCCTGTAGGCTGTGCCCTGGAGTAAAAGGAATCTAGTTTTCATAGTTGTTTCTTCTTTTAACATAAATGACCAAGAGGACTGCTATAAGTGTGAATGGCCTTAAAGAGCCAGGCAGGCTAGGCAATGGGGTTGAGTACTATTAGGGTTTTAGTTGTTCTTTATCTGGACAGAGGCTTGTCCCATTCATCTGTCCAAGGCTCAATGCCTGGTATATGCAGGAGTTGTGGGGAGAGTGGGAAGGGGTTGGAGAATGGGGGAATAGAAGGGGTCGAGAGTGTGGGGGAGAAGGGAAGGAGAATGTCACAGGCAGAAGTCAACTAGCAGAAGGAAGCCACCTTCCGGGACTTGAAGGAAGCCACCTTCCGGGACTTGAAGGAAGGCTGGTGTGATTGGAGCAGAGAATGAGGGAAGTGGGAAGGGTAGGGAGGAGTCGGATCCCCAAGGCCTGGTAAGCAGCTTAAGGACTATGGTCTTTATCCTGAGAGCGACTGCGAAGCACTGGGGGTTCAAAGCAGGGGAGGACAAGGTCAGATTGGCTTTTTGTGGCACTCCCAGGATTACCACGGATTGGGTCTCTTATCGCATTTAATCCCTTCTTCTTTTTTTCCCTTAGTCACACAGGCTGTTTTCAATCCCACCTCCAAGAAGCCTCCTTAACGGTGGTTCTCAACCACTGGCTGCACATTAGAATCATTTGGGGGAGATTTACAAAAAATGATTCTCAGGATCTAACTCCAAATAATAAAAAATAAAAGTTAGACTTTCTAGGGTTGGGACATTTTTAAGGCTTCTTGGGTGATCTTTTCTAGAACTTTGGAAAAGCATCTCTTTAGTAGTCAAAGTAAGCTAGTGAGTGGAGTCAGTGACCCAAGTAAAGCCCCGTGTGCTGAAGACTTGGCTTTTGACACTCGCATCCCTGCTCAATCCATAGCTTTGCTTCACCTATGGACATGAAATCTGACTTGTAGGGCCCTGGTATTCTTTCCTGGTTACCCTCATCCTCTAGTGACAATCACCTTTTCCCTTTATTATCAAATACCCATGTTGCTTTGGAAAGAGACAGTTAAGTAGCTGCTAATTTGTTTGGCATGCTCTTTAATTCCCCTCTGAGTTTGCTCACTTGGTAGCTTTTTACCCTGCATGTTTCTTAGTGGTTAGCTTAGTGTTTCCAGCTGATGAGATATTCTAGCATGAAAAAACTACAGCAGGTAAGTCATTTTTTTTCTTTTGCCTTTCTCATTTTAGAGACAAAGCATATTTGACCTGGTGCAATAAGAAAATTCATCTCCAAATAAATGAAAAGGATTTTTAAAAAAATATATTATGGGAAAAACCTGCCTCAGTCAGAATAACTACTAAAACTAGAAAAGATAGAAATTTCTTTAAAAATCCCTGTTTTTAAGGTCTTTTAATCTAACAGGAAATTAAATTGAAAGGGAGAAACAAGCTTCCTCCTTTTGAAGAATCTCAAAGCTGAGAAAGATAAACCTTCAGTCTTAACAACATGTAACTATGAGCCTTCAGGGCAAAGAATATTCTCATTTCACTGATGGGGAGAGAGAGGCAGAGAAAGTCAGGTACTTGGAGAGAATCTTCTCATGAGTCTCTTAGAAAAAAGATATAGTCTTACTTTGGAATTCTGTCCATTTATTTGTAAGTTGTTCAGAAAAGCATCAACTACTATCATTTTCAGATACATGAGCACATGTTTGAAGTGATGTTTGTCTAAGGTCATTCATTGCAACAGATTTCAAACAACCCAAATTCCCATCAATAGAGGACTATCAGTAAGTTATGGTAATATATAATGGAATACTATACAACTGTTAAAAAGAACAAGGCATCTCTTTTTGAATTGATATAGAAAGAATTCCAAGATATACTAAATGAACAAAGCAAGACTCTGCACAATATGCCAACATTTGTATAAAATACCTATCTACCTACCTACCTATCAATTGCTTATCTATCAATATATTTATCTATCTGTATTTGCTTATGTGTGTATAATCACAGGAAAAGTACACCAGAACCCAGCAACAGTAGTTTTCTGAGGGTGAGGAAACTGAATGGTTGGGAAACATAACCTCTATACTTAAAAAAACTTCAAGGTTTCTGGTGGTGCAGTGCTTAAAGCATTTGGCTGCTAACTGAAAAGTTGGTGGTTCAAACCCACCAGCTGCTCTGCAGGAGAAAGATGTGGCAGTCTACTTCTGTAAAGATTTACAGCCTTGGAAACCCTATGGAGCAGTTCTACTCTGTCCTATAGGGTCGCTATGAATCTGAATCTACTAAATGGCAGTGGTGGGTTTTGGGAGTATATTTTGGATTCAAAATTTTAATTAAAATCTAAAACCAAATAAAATATTGTCATTTTTATTGTGAGTTACAAGTACAGTGGCTAAATCAAAACAGAGGCAATTGCCTGAAACATAGGTAATAACTTGGTGGATGAGCAAAACAAACTGAGAGCCTACAAATCCAAATTCCAGCTGTTATTCTGGCCAGCTCATTTACTCTTCATCTGATCATTCAACTCTTGAACATTTTTTGAATGCCTACTGTGTGCCAGGTACTCAGCTAGAAGATTCATTTGTAAGAAGCTCACTGACCTGTGAGAAAGTGACCCAAAATCTCATTGTTGTAATTAGGACAGGTTCCTGCAGGACCTCATGGGAGGTGAAGCTAAATTAGGCTAGGGGAGGCTTGTTTACCTGTGGACATAGTATTACAGAGAAGGAGCCATAGGACAGTTCCAAGCAGAGGAACCAGCCTGTGCTGGTAGTTTGGTATGGCTGCAGACATGGCAAGGGATGAGCAGAGTGAGATAGACCCAAGGCAGATCTGACATGTTGCAGTTTGGAATTTTAGAAAATATTTTTCTACTTGTGAAACAATATGCCCTTGATGGCAGGATGATAAGCTGAAGGCCAATGGGAACACATTAAAGAATTTCAAGCAAACCAATGATATGCCTAAGCTGAGCAGCAGTGCTCAGTATTCAAAATATATTGCCATGCTTCCTTCCCTATAGCAGTACTATAGGGCTGGTGGGGGCAGGGACAGGGAGTAACAAACACTTTAAAAACACAAACTGCAGTGTTAAAACCAGAAGATGAGAGAAGCTTCCCTGAGAAGTTGGGGTGTAGGTCCTGAAGTCAGAGTGCCTGTGCTATAATTCTAATTCCTCCTACTGCACACTTCACAAATGTGGGAGTCATTTAACCGCTTGAGCCTCAGTTTCTTCAACTGTAACTGGGGCTGGGTTAAGTGATTTTAAGTTTTTATCTATCCTTGGAAAACCTTCCACCAGTGCTGCCCTCCACTTGCATCTGAGTGTGGCTCTTCTAGGTGTACGGCAGACTTCCGTAGCGAACTGCGGGGAGGGTGGAAGAGCAGATGTCAGAGGGGATGGTGTGGAAACGGTGCACTGTAAAGTGGGCCTTAGGGTTGCCAGCACCTTTCCCTTTATAATACTGTATCACAAAGACCCCATGTGTTACAGAGTACAACTGTAACACAAAAACATTACATGTACAAAAACTATTGTAAAATTCCCTACTCTGAATTCTGCAGTTTTTCAATCTCCATAAATAATTTATCTCATTTCCTTAGCAATTACCACCTTCCAACATACTATATATATATACTTTGCTTATTTCTTATGCTGTTGTCTGTCTTTTGCAGTAGACTGGAGCAGAGCAGAGATCTTTCTTTGTTTTGCTTATGGATGTATCCCAAATGCCCAAAAAGTGCCAGACATATTAGGTAGTAAGTCCGAACCAAACCACAACTGTCAAGTCAATTCTGACTCCAAGCAACCCTATAGGACAGAGTAGAACTGTCCCATAGGGTTTCCAAGGTAAATCTTTGTGGAAGCAGACTGCTACATTTTTCTCTTATGGAGTTGCTGGTGGGTTCGAATTGCTAACCTTTTGGTTAACAGCTGAGCACTTTAACCATTGTGCCACCAGGACTCTTTAGGTAGTAAATGGGTGCTCAAATAGTGGTTGAATGAATGAATTATGGTGATAACAATGATATCATCCTGGGAAGTATTAGCCATAATTCTCCAAGCCCTAAGGGAACAACTAAACTAGTACTAAGGAAAAAAAGAAAAAAGATTGTTTCACTAATGTAAGTAAGGAAGCATGGCAATATGTTTTGAATATTTGGAGCAAACATCTTTTCTTTTGTTGCCCAGAATCATACCCTGTTTTCCTTTGTGAAACACTCGTCTCCTCCCTATTCAATTCTGTGGTTCCAGGATGGGCCGATCACTGTATTCACTCACCTGGCCATAGTGTTTATTTAGGCATAGGCACATAACCCAAATTCGGCCAATGACATTCAGTTCTGGGGTGATCGGGGAAAGAGAAGTTGATAGCTATCTTGGCACTATGAGGGAAGAGCTTATATGAGAGGAAGCAGAGGAAAACAGAGTCCAGCCATGGAGATAGATAGATTTTGGAAAATATATGTCAAAGCCCCACCTAGCAGAGATGGGGCTGAGGTAGCACAGAGAATGTGTAGCCTGAGAACTCTGGATTAGCTGAGGTTAGGTGGGGGCCCCTCAAAACCTACCAAGTCCCTGCCCTCTGCAGCACTAGATAGCACCACCACCATGTATTTGGTCTCTCCTCCCATGTTTCTGTCTTTCCAAGTCATTTCCTACCAGTGGCTTGGGACATTGTCCTCCAAGGCAATCTCACCTCTGAGATCCATCCATTCTAGGACCTGGCTCTGTCCCTGGTCAGTTTCTTTGACTCTGTGGCCATTTATTTCTAGTTTACTAAATTCCAAGGGGTGCAAAGAATAGATAGAAAGAAGCACTGAATGAGAAAGCTGTGGGATGAAAAGGGTGGGTCAATTCATGTACCATTTAGTGAGCAACTTCTGTGTATTAGCTGCTGGGGCAGAAGGGGGTGTTGCAAAGATGGACAAATGACATCTTCCCCACAGGAGCTCTCAGCACTCCTCTTAACTAGAAACAAAACTGAACTTGAAAGATCAATGGACTCTTTAGAGAACAGCAAACAAGGTTGGGCACCCAGAAGAGGATTTGCAGCTGACTTCTAAATAGTTAACTAAGGGATCGATCCTCTCTACAGCAGGAAGATCAGTTTACCAAGTTACAGTAGTAGATCAGTAACAATTATTTTAGCAACTGTCAAGATAAACTGAATTATATTTGCCTGTTTTATGAGGTGGTTCAAGGTTATCCTTTCTCCTCTCTGCTCTCTGTCCTCCACAACCCAAACCAGACATCCAACTGATGTCCCCGATGGCTGGCTGTGATTACCGTTCCTAATTTGTTCTTTCTTCATCTGCTACAAACTGCCTATTTTCTGCCCCTTCTGATAAAGCGGAAGCTCTGAGAGACTTCTGAAGCTGTTTTTGTACCATGTAGAAGTGTATTAACTGCAATTCCTGTGTATGTGTCTATAAAACCCCTCGTCTTCTCAGTGTGAGATCACCTTCAGGAACGGCGTCATGTCGATGTGCAGCTTGCACGTGTAAAATTCTTTTCTGTTTGAACATATCAGCTCTTTATTTATACAACTTTGAGGCTCTCCTGTCTTCTGAGCCGCTGCCTCCAAGGACTGCTGGGCTCCCTGTGAAGAGAAACAGAAAGCCCAACTTTCACTGGAATGATATACAGTGCGACAAGAGCTAGTCCAAATCCCCAAATATTTATAGAAAGTAATTTTTCATCTTTGGAACACTAATAGTAACACCTATTTTTACCATTGGAGACCCAGGGGACTCATGAGTAGGGAATAACCCAAGAATGGTTATTAATTCATACCTGGGGTCTGTGCAATGGGGAAGTGGAAAGAGTGATCTAACTATGTGCATCATCTCACTGAATCTACACAAGCCTATGAGGCACATATTGTTATTCCCATTTCACAGATGAGGATATTGAGTCTCTAGGAGGTTAAGCAATGTACTGAAAACCACACAGCTGGGACATGGTAGAAAATGGCAGAAATCATCTGCTCCAGGCTACTTTTTTTTTTTTTTTTTTAATTGTGATTTGGGTGAAAATTTACAGAGCAAATGCACTTGCCATACAGCAGTTCACATACACTTTGTCTCATGACATTGACCACAATTTACCACAATGCAACAGCTCCCCTCCCACTTCCTCCTGATAATTACTCTTCCCTGTGTCCATCCCTCCATGCACTCCTGCCCCCTGAGCTGTCTCCCTGTGCATAAGCAGCCCTTCTTTCTCCCATGATTGATCTCTCCAAGGAGTGTATCTACCTCAGGTAAATGTTCAACTCATATGCCTGTCTTTTGCTTGGCTGGAAGCCACAGGTGTGGGTTCAATTCCAGACCTGAAGGGCAGCTAGGGGCCATAGTCTCAGTGGTTCCACCAGGCTCTATTGGGCCAGCAAACTCCAGGCTACTTTTTTTTTTTTTTTTTTTTAATTAGGATTTGGGTGAAGATTTACAGAGTAAATTCACTTTTCATACAGCAGTTCACATATACTTTGTCTCATGTCATTGACCAAAATTTACAATGCAGCAGCTCCCCTCCCACTTCCTCCCCATAGTTACCTCCTCCCAGTGTCCATCCCTTCATACTCTTCTGCACTCTGAGAGCCAGGCTACTTTTAATGAGTTCTCTTTAACAAGCTATACTTACATCACTTCCATGATGTAAGTATATGGGGTACGAATGGTTAACACATTAGGCTGCTAACTGCAAGGTTAGCAGTTCGAGTCTACCCAGAAAAGAAAGGCCTGGTGATCTACTTTCAAAAAATCAGCCATTTAAAATCCTATGGAACACAGTTGTATTCTGTAACACATGGGGTCGCCATGAGTCAGTATTGACAGCAACTTTTGTTTTTTTAAATAGCTTCCATGAATGGTTAGCACATCTGCCTTGCAGCAAATGTGGCTATAGCATGATTCCAGTTTATTTCCAAGCTGATTTGAACCAATGTAGCAGAATGGGAAGAAGGCTGGGTTAATGGAGGAGTCTGGAGGCCTTGGAACCTCTCTGATCTTTTAGGCTATGCTCTCTCCCATCTCCACAGCATGCACATAATGTCACATTTCAGAGCATTACAAAGTTAGATCTGAAGTAGTCCCCCAGCCTACATGCCATACTGCAACCTTGGAGGCCTTTCCAAGATGCACATTGGATCACATCACTCCTCTGCTAAAGCATTCAAAAGTCATTGCTCTCAGGATGAAGGCCAACCCACTGAAAAGATTGACAAGGCCCTTCCTGCCAGCCCTGGACTCTCTCTCCAGCCTCATTCAGTCATTCAACAAATATTTATTGAATGCTTATTCTTTGCCAGGCGGAGTGGATACAGCGGCACACCGAGGAGATGAAAATCACTGCCACCCTCCCCCACCCCCCATGACTAGTACACATTCATTCTACTGAGAGGGAAGAGAAGATTAACAAGGAAGTAGAACATCAGTTATGTCTGAAGGTGATTCATGATGTAGAGAAATATAAAACAGGAGAATGGGATGAGGAGTGGCCAGGATGGAGGTGGAGGCTGCAATTCTAAACAAAGTAGTCCAGGAAGGCTCCACAAAAAAGTAACATTTGAGCAAAGCTCTGAAGAAGGTGAGGGAAGGTTCCACGGGGCTATCTGTGGGTAGTATTTAGCTCACTGTGTGAATAGCAAGTGTAAAGGCCCATCGTCGACACTGAAATTTCAACACCTGGAGCATGGCCCTTCCATCTGCTTGGAACACTCTCACCACTTCTTGTTGTCTTCCTATTCCTCCTTGTCCTTTGGCCTGGCTCATATGTGCTTCTCATGACCTCCCAGAACACTGAGCACTTCCCATCATTGCCTACAATGATTGCTCATCTCTCCTCCCCATTAGACTGTAAGCTTCATGAGGGCAGGAATCACTGCTGTCCTGTTTCCATTGCATCACTAGTGCCTGGCACAGGATCTGAAAACATATGCATGCTTGAAACATACCTGTTGACCCGAACAGTGAAAAACACACTAGTTAATGACACCAGGGGCAAGCTACAGATTGTGGCCCATCTTAGGTAAAATGAGGAGGGAACCAATAAAGACAACTTTACAGGAAGTGTGTTGCCTTCTAGAGAATTGTCTTCTGCATTGCACTACCTCCTCATTCTGCACCCCCTCCCCCCAGAAAACTCACTGCTGTCGAATCATTTCTGACTCATAGCAACCCCTCCTTGGGTTTTTGAGGTGGTATCTCTATGGAAGTAGATTGTGCTATCTTGCTTCCGAGGAGTGGCTGGTAGGTTTGAACTGCCAGCCTTCTGGTTAGCAGTTAAATAAATGCCTTAGGCACTATGCCACCAGAGCTCCCTCCTCATTCCCAGAAAAGTATTCTTTTTTGAGGCTGATTTGCTGGAGTCACGTACATTAGTTTGCCATGAGATCACCCTGGGTGTGGATTTTATCATTTCCATATTTTCTAGGAGACTAACTTTCAGGCATTTGTCTCTCTGGACACTCATAAAGTCTCCTTCCTGACAACATTTATATTACTTTTAAGCACTAATAATGAATTAATAGTTGGTAGTAGCTCTTGTGGTATAGTGGATAAGGTATCTGGCTGCTAACCAGAAGGTCAGTGGTACAAACCCATCAGCTGCTCTGTGAAAGGAAGATTGCATGATCTACTTGTGTAAGCATTTACAGCCTCAGAAACCCAACGGAGGTCACTATGGGTTGGAAAGGGCTCCATGCCAGTGAGTTTGGTTTCAGTTTGAGGTTCCTGCAGGCAGCCATCATTTCAATGAACCTCCACACCCTTTTCTTTTGTTTTAGAATATAGTTAGAGATATTTTTATTATTTTTTTTTTCTGGACAAACGCATATCCAATTTTTTGTAATCGCAGCCAAATACCTGATTAGCTTCTCAGGGTGAGGTGATCTCTACCCGTTTCTTGATGAAATGAAAGCACTTGTCCACACTTGAATCAGAGAAAGTGCTCTAAGTTTTCTAGCCTCGAAAATCATGCATGAATCACCGAATAGAATCATAGAAATCAGACTTGAGGGAAATATCTCCGTTATTCCCAAGAGAAGATTTTGTGTTAGGCTAGAGGACAAAAGACAAAACCAAGACCTGCTCCAAGGGCTAGAATTGCTTTAACTCTTTATGTAGGGCTCAGATTGAAAAATAGGGAGTTGAAAGACTCTGAGAAAAGTTCCTCCAAATAACTTTCGATAAAATAATTCTCTTGACTATGTGGCTCCTCCTGCTAAAAGTTAGTTACCATCATTCTAGCTTGATGGAATGTTTCAGGTGAAGATTTCATAGCTACTGGAAGGTGAAGGAAGTACTGTTTTTGCCCTCTAGAGAATTATCTAGAATTGTTTAAGCGTTTTAACAAATAAATTATAGTGAAAGGGTGTGTGTGTGGGAGATGGGAGGAAATAAAAAAATTAAACATATAAAGAAGATTCTGGAAGGTCTTCTTTAAGACCTTTAAGAGGAGAAAAGGAAAATTGAAACCAGAAGATATCTTGTGTTTGGGTGGTTTTTCATTTATTCATTAAACTTGTATTTAGTGCCTATGGCATTTGACTGCTAACTAGAAGTTTGGAGGTTCAACCCACCAGCCACTATGCTGAAGGAAGATGGGGCAATCTACTTCTATTAAGATTTACCACCTCGGAAACCCAATGAGGGTCACTAAAAGTCAGAATCTACTTGATGGCAGTGGGTTTTGTTTTTGTTTTTTTGTCTAACACATCTAAACCAAACTCCAGACTCACTGCCAGTGAGCCAGGTCTGACTCATAGTGATCCCCAGTGAGTTTCCGAGGAGGTAAATCTTTACACATGTAGACTGCCCCATCTTCTTTCTGCAGAGTGGTTTGTGGGTTTGAACCGCCAACGTTCTGGTTAGCAGTCAAATGTCTTAGGCACCACACCACCAGAGCTCCTTGTGTAAGACGAGCATATAAATAGGTAAGATGATGAGTTTAGATAGTGATAAATCTGTGAAGACAGTGAAATGGTGATAGGTTGGAGACTGATGGAGGAGGAGAAGTTAGTGACTTTACATTGGGTGGTCAAGGAAGACTTCTCTGAGGAGGTAACATAGATCCCTTAAAGATCTATCTTTGGCCTTCAGTGTAGCTTGTTCTCCGGGGTCTGATTACTCAGAGGTAGAATCAGGCAGGAGTGCTTTGAAAAGGAAAGTAGAATTCCTCATTTCCAGGCCTGTTCTGCCCCAGCCCTCTGGGCTCCATCCTTGACCCCATGAGGCATCCCTCTGTTTCCTGAGTGGTGGAGTAAGCATAATGGCACTGGCAGCTCTTGGGGTATGTTGAGAGTTAAGGGAGAAAAACAGTAAACATGAGTCAAGGTCTCTGAAGGTGTAGGAGAGAGAAGAAAATGCAAGGTTAAATGGAAAGGAAGGAAAATGGGGAACTAGAAGCAGGAAGGTTGGGCAATCTACTTCCTAGAGTTATGCCTCAGAAACCCAAGGAGGGGTCGCTATGAGTCAGATCTGACTGGATGGCAGTGGGTTTTTAGAAGGAGCCTGAAGGTTTTGTTTTCTATGTATGCCTTGGTGGGAATGATTAGAGAGCTGATGGAAGGGTGAAATGTTTAGCTGAAAACCAAAACCC